TAGGGTGATTCTATGATGGCTCTTTGGTGGATTCGAGATGCGAACAGTTGTTTATTTTTTGTTTTCAATAAAGTGAAGAAATCAACAGTTTTCCACACTAGGCAACTGGCGCCACTGTAGAAGACATTAGGTTAATTGGAAAAGCCAGAGAGATGAAAAATTAGCAACCGACTTCGCCGGGAATCGAACCACGGACCTCTGGAATACCGGCCCAGCGTGCAGAAGTACTACACCACGAAGGCACGTTTATGGAGGATATTCGGCTGACAAGTTAATAACTAAAGCTCAGTGGTGCGAGGGCCCATCATGGTTCTCCGAAAATTCTTAGAAATAACCAAATAATAAAATATTTTTTAAAAAGGAAATGCATAAGAAAAGAAGAACAGCTTCATTTTGCAAAGTGTGGACTTTCGAAATGAAAACTCACTTGAATATTTTTACCAGACCTATCCAGAAAATTTTTCCTTTAGATCTATCATCTAATCAATTTTGTGATTCTTTTTCACAAATTAAGTAAAAAAATAAAAAAGTCAGCAATGCTGATCGGTCTCGGAGCGTTCTAAAACAGATCTTCTCTGGATGCTCAGACCACTCTATCAGGAAAAGCTGTTAAAGAGCATCATTGTTTTGATCTGTTTAATATTTATTAAGAATTGTGAGCCCTCTGCAGTAGTTGTAGACTGAGAAAGGGGGAAGATGTTAGAGACCAGCATCAATATTCCACCGGTTTTAAAGTGATGTGATCGATGAATACTTTTCTAACTGTGGGAAAGAACTGAACTCAAGAGGCACTTTTGTAATTTTTTTTCCTTCAACTGTGTACGCGAGTGAGCTAGGCAGCAACAAAAAATTTATTTAGTGATATACTTAAATGATTTGACAGCGGTTAAATGCGCGAGAGCTCCTTTAGAATAATTTGATCCTACAGGATAATTGATGATTTTTCAAGCCGGATACTTAAAAAAAATATCCCACTATAAAGTTTATCAGTATTTAGTATGTTTAGTATGTGTAGAAAAAATTCTAACAGTGTGCAGAAATTATGAAATAATCATTGTATTTTATATGCGTTGTAGACTCATTATTTTCCTTCCTTTTGTTTTATTATTCGAATATCGAAAAGATTTCAAGTAACGTACATGCTTTAAAATTTGCTTTGCAATGAAGGAGAAGTGAGCCTCCTTTGAGATTTGCTTGGCTTTGTTTTTATATTATTTTATTTTTGACATTAATCTTGTTGGCAGTTTTCATGTTTAGAGATAAAAGCGAGCAAAAAATACTCTTATACATGATAAGAAAGAATGCCTTTTTTGTGACAGCGTTTACAATAACCAGTAATTTAGTTCTTAAATTTCTCAGAGGTGAAAGCAGCTTACACATTTAAGACAGAATAAAAAGGAGGCCTTTTTCCCCAACAAACTGTTAAGGATTATAATACTTTATTTTTCAAATAGGAGAAATTTAAATTTTATTCCAAATAATAATAAATAAACACCTTGCGATGTTTAAATTATCTAAAGTAGCAATATTTCTAAAACTACAGCAAAATAATTTAATTCCCTATTTTTTCTGTCTTTTCTATTTCAAAATATAGTATTTAAAGAAGCAATTCTTTCGCTTTAAATTGGAGCTCTAATCTTTTTTTAAGACTTAATTTATATCTGTCCTCACATTGTCTTAAATCACTTTTATTCTGTTGAGTTACTATATTTTACAGTTCTCAGGATGTTATAGTATATTGAGGTTTCGTATTATTTTTTATGTAGATACTCGTGTGTAATAAATACAAAGTAAAAGGCAGTTTAAAATCCATTCGAATTGCACGCTGAAAAATGTAAATGTCTTATTGCACTTTTGGTTTTGACATGTTTTGCCTTCTTTTTCTTGCAATTTGCCAGTGTGCTTCTTGTTTTTTGTATATGTTTATTCTCAACTGAGTATTGGATAAATTTTAAATGCATTATTTATTTAAATTTATTTTTAATTATGTATAGTTACCAACTATCATGAAGAAGACTTGTCTTCACCATGATAATGTAAAGATCCACTTTTTATACTCCATTTTTAGATTCTCACTATCATTACATTATTACTGGAATCCAAGTGTAGTTAATACCTCTTTAAGACAGCTTAGGAAAAAAAGAAATTAAATTTAGGCCAGTTAGCACAGTTCCTTTTTCTCTTTGCATTTAAAAACTTGATTTAAAACAGATTATTTTATTCTCACTAACAGCTTTAAACTTAGTCTTCCCACTTATACTTTTATAGAACGGAAAAACAAGAAATTTTGAACAGAATCAAACTAACACTTAAAAGAGTTCGCAGGTTTAAAGGCATAATTAATTGGTTAGAAATAAAAAATAAAATTGTGGGACTTAAGGCCAAATTCACTTTTGTCAAAACAGGCAAAACAAGCAATATTATTAGCATCATCTGAAAGAAATTCTACAAATCTCTTACTGATAAAGTACTTAATCAACCAATTACTTCGATTCCCGGCGAAGGCGTTTGCTAATTTTTCATCTTGCCTGCTTCCAAAAACCTCCTCCTGTCTCTACAACATAATTGAACAGAACTTATTTAATATACACAATAATTATCGTATTTAATATAATTATGTAAGCAATTTATTTAAAATAACGCCATATGTAAACATGTCAGAAAATTCTATTTACTAGCGGGAAAGCCCGCCAGATGAGCGGTCTGCGGCCAAAGCAAAATATAAGTTCTATATTCTATGAAAAGTTCAGTGCGTGGAACGATAACTCTTGATCCAGCATTCTGTCTAGAGATGACTTCACAACCTAAAACTTTTCCCATAATTCTCTTCAAAATAAGACTTGTTGCATTTCAGAGTAGCACATATGGATTTAGATTTCGTAGAAGTATAATTATAACTTCAAATTTCAAATTCAAACAATGAAATGGCATCCCAAAAGGCGTTAAGCTGTGGATGAATCCAGCTGATATGTGTCTTATTCATCTTTTGGAATCTGTTTTATGGTCTATTTCATATTTTGTAAAACTTAAACGAATTTTTGATTAAGAAACTCAACAGTTACAAAGCTAGCAGTGGTGACACTGGGAATAAAACAATTTTGATCTCCAGCTCGCGATCCAGATTTCCAGGCAGTCTATCAGAGATTCTAAAGATATGCTGTTTTTAAATATTTTAGTCCAATGTGGAGTTAACCTAAATGCTAAACGCTCTCGAAGCGTGTATGTGTCTATAAATGAAAAAAAAACGCCCTTTGGGCGTAATTTAAAATCTGAAAGCTTTCAGAATTTTCCTTTCATTTTAGAATAAAATGTAGAAACATTCAGCACATTTTTATTTCATATTTTTAAAAATTTACAAGTTTTGGTTTAACAAACTCTACGATTTGAAAGCGAGCAATGGCAACACTTTTAAATACAAAGCATTTTTATCTCCAGCATGCCAGACTGTTGCCATTCGAAAAAAATGAGAGCGAAAATTAGCGTTATCAGAGCTTTTAATTAATATCTTGTCTTATTAAAGCCATGCCAATAACAGAATGGTCCTGATGGTTTCCCACGAATTTTTGAAATCCGGGAGTAACTCTCTCGAAAGTTAATTTCCCGCCGTTCCGAATGAGATGTTTTTACAGACAAACGAAAAGACAGATGCGCGTAGTTTTTAATAGACTAGATTGTTTTATTTAATTCAATTTGTTAGAATTTATTCGAAACAAAAAACAAATATAAAAACATTGTAGAGACAATAGGATTTTTTGGAAGCAGGAAAGATGCAAAATTAACAACGCCTTCGCCAGGAATCGAATCGCGACCTCTGGAATACCGGCCCATTGTGCAGACCACCACACTACGAAGGCATGCCAAGAAAGTGGGAGAAATACCTTATAACATACAGGATACTCTTTCTGGTGACCACAGTTCAGCAAATGTTACTAGTAATATTACGAAGATCAACTATAGCTTATTTTCCGTTGATGGAAGATTGAAAATAGTAATCACAATGAGTATTTTACAAAGAAAACCAGTATTTGCAATTCATTACAATGCTGTTAGGAAAATTATTTAATTCACAATACAATTGGGAAAAAAACTGTTAGGTCCTTATCTTTTCGTTTCATTCACGTGCGCAAATCGGTAACTCTTTGTTCTAGCGCAGTGTTTCTTAAACTTTTTCAGTCTCCATTCCCTTTTTATCACTAGGATTTTTTTCGCGACTCCTGGACCCCATAATATTTACGAATATTTTGTGGGACCCCATATTGCGCAAATCCCACACACCCGTAAATGAAACCGTCAATTTTTTCACTTGTACTGTAATATACTATTGCAGTTTAAGGTCATTAACTTTAGTTTCTAATTTTAAGACATGTAACAATTTAAATAGGTAACAGACGAAATGGCAGCGGCACGTGCAAAGCAAGTAAACTGAACGTTTATATTATAAAAAGAATGCGTCGAAAATTTTTCGTTTTTTTCTTTGTCTGTATTGTCTTACCTTTATCTATTTTCAGATACTACATTGTGTAAAAATGTTTGGTAATTGTATAATTATTATAATAAGTTAAAGAAATATCAAAACTGCTAAAAGTTTTAGCGACCCCCTGCTGCAGGTCCCGCGACCAACAGTTTAAGAAACTCTGTTCTAGCGTATGTGCAAATCCATAATCGTTTGTTTCTCGCCAGCGCAGAAATGAACCAATCCACTTTCTAGACAAGGCCATTACAGAAGAGAAGTAAGGTTTATTCATTTAATCCGTGCCGTCTATTCACGTCTTCTTGAAATGCTTATTGCAGAAATTTTTAATAGCTGCTGAAAGATATAGCTGAAACCCACCATACTTGTCACCCACTGTAACTGATCATGCTACACTCTGTTGGTATTTAGAGATGCCCCACAATCACAAATGTAATAATTTAATTAACATTTGTATTGGACATCAATCAATAAACAACGGTATTATTTCACTGAGGAAAGCGAAATATATATATATATATATATTCACCTCCCTTGATCTTGCATTCAGGATCAGAACCACTCCAAGTAAAATCTCCTTGGCATACCCTTTCCGAATTGCCAAACAACCAGTAGCCCTCGTTGCAGCCGTAGGTGACTTTCTGTCCAAACATCTCCCCAATTACTTGGACTTTGCCATTTTGAGGAGGTAAGAGAGGCTGACAGTGTAGATCTGGAAATGAAATTAGTAATTTGAAAGAAGTGATAATTTTAAACAGGCAGCAATGCTTTAATAGTCATAAACTTATGCACATAACATTTAAATATACTCCACTGTTGCTAAAAATATAGTTAGCCTTTAGAATAACATATCATTAATATATGTTAATATGTGTACCGAAACACAAGCTAGTAATCAATGTACATTATGTAACCTACAAGCAAAACAATATTAGTTTTACAAGTCATCTTTTTAAATTTTACAGTTGTAGGGTTTATATTTGTTTTAACTAACATTTATTTTAAGTTTAAGCTATCTTTCCTGTCAAGCCTTTACTTTCCCCTAGAATTGCCAATGCCAGAGTATGTAAATCGTAGTAGAACGCGCAGACTATTCAAATTTTAGCAGAAGTAAATTGAGTTTAAATAGAAGGGAAACGAGATTGTAAGTGTGCTTCTTGAATCGCGAGAGTGAAGGTTGCTAGGTAGAAATTTTAAGAACCGCGCGTTTCGGCCTGTGTGCCTATTTCGGCAGTTCGTTGAATCTTTCAACTTCTTAATTAGGAAGTTTGCTGAATCTCAGCTGTATCTTAGAACGCGGTTAAGTTAGTTACGATTATAGAGCCTTGTAGATAGTGATTTCGTTATTTATTCATCCTGTCATTTATTTTTAGTTGTACTTTTCTATTTTGTTAAACCGCCGGGTCGGCGTAGTTTGTGAGCGTCAAGTGAACGCAGCTGTGATTTCTAAAGTGGAATAAAAAGGGATTTAAACCCTTCTTACAAGTTTGTGTACTTTACAGTTCATAGCAGTCACTACTACTGTTGCTGACAAGTTGGGGCCACGCAAGATCATACAGTATATAATACTGCTATATGAGTTCTTCATGTAGCAGAATTGTGAAAATTATAACAAATAATCCAACTGTCAGATTTATCCTTTACTTAAGTTCTTGTTAAAGGATTTTATTCACTGCCTTCAAATAATGTAGAGAACACGATTTATTGATTTAGAAAGCCATTCTTTCCTTTTTAAAGTTTGGAATAAAAGGTACAAATAACATCTTTCCTTTACTGAAATAAAATCATTCATATACTGATTTCGCAAAATGTGCATGATAAAAAAACTCTGCATCGTTTACTAATGCAGCAATAGAAATGTTAGAATTCAAAGGAAAGTAATTTTTTTTTCTCTTTTGCCTCAATAGCAACATGGGATCATTAGCAATCGAAGTACTTCAAATTATTCCTTAGGGTTTAATTACCCTAAGTGAAGAATGCAGAGTGAGAAGTTCCTTGAGAATCGTTACGTTCATTTGACGGATTGAATTTGGAAACGATTTATTTACATACGATCCGAAGCAAAACTTCTTTTATGTGTTTCTGAATCCTAAGTTCAAGCACTAAATTTTCAGTAAATCGAGGCAATTTTGCGATTTAAAAAAATAATTATTACACCAAAGACCGCTATCTGCAGACACCCATGCTGCTCGTTTATTAAGAATCCATCACACTATAGATGTATTTAAATGTATGAATTAAACTTCGGAATAACAGTTCTTCTCCATTATATGAGAATACAGTTTTCTTGTGGAACCTTTATTAAAATAAAATTGCATAAAGCGTTGAAACGATTGATTTCACTTTATGGGAAACACTTATAAACGCTTCTAGATCCCAAAGTCAATTGTGTCTTAAATAAATTATGAGACCTTAAATAAATACAAAACATAGGAATAAGATTATAAATAAGCAGAATCTAGAAACTAGAAGTAATATAATTATGTAGCGAGTAGAATCGCTTTTCCGATAGGGGTAGCAATTATTCTTTTGCATTTTATCTGTCTATTATTAATTAATAAACTAAACTATTTAAAAGTAATAAATTCCGTTCATAAAAATATTTTTTTCTTTTCTAAACTAATTGATATAAACAGAAATGCTCTTAATTCATAATGTATCTAATTAAAAGTATTCAATATTTTTTACGAACTTATATTACATATATTTTCGCTTTTTAAATACAGAACAGATGTATAATGTTTCCATGTTAACCTAAATGCATATTCATCCAAAATACTGTAAAATGTTTCGCTACTCTTCCTATCTCTATTGGTAATCTCTACTGATAAAACACATTAAACTTTAAAAGATCATCCTTAAAATCCCTTTAAGGGTCCTCCTTTTTAAAATTTTGGCACTTTTCGACTAATCACTAAAAGGTAGAATTCCTATCACATTCTGAAAGTATTTTTAATATAACAGCGGTTTTCTTGACTTTACACTAACTCGCAGTTAAACACATGTTCACGTTGACTGATGCTGAATTATACTGTTCTGAAATAATGTGGTAATTGATTTCATAATTTGGAAAATGCAACTATTTGAGACAAGATCCTGCACATGTTACAGATTTTTTTCAATTACATGACTGTTTTACAATTTAGGGAGAAAACGGACCAGCTATTCTTTTCATGAATAACCAATTAATGGCTAGTTCACTGATTCTTTTCTACGGTTTTAATCCTTTTTTTAACAATCTTTCTCATTCTTGTCATTTTACTGACTTCCTATTTTATCATAGAGGGACAGAGCAAGAAGTACGTCGCTGTCAGAGACCTTAGAGCTTTCTAGTCATGTTTCTAAATGAAAAGCAAACATTCAACAATATGGGCTAGTTTTAATTCTATGAATGTTACCTATTTGTCCTGAAGAAAAATATTAAAAAAAGTTTAAGAAGAATTCTGAGAACATAGTCCCATGTTTCCTTTCAATAGCTCTAACATAATATAAAGAACAAGGAGTGTTGATGCAAGAAACTTTTAATTTAGAGCATTTGTTAGATAATAAATTATATGTAAGCTTGAAAAATCAGCAAAAACCATAAAACTTTGGAAAGAGTTTGACAAATATTCTTAAATCGTATTATTACGCTAGTCAGGGCTAACCGATAAGGATAAACGACTTAAAAATATACTTGATTTCTCAATTAGATATAGACACGACATACGTTCTCTAAATAAAAATGCAATATGTACAAAAATATACATCAAAACGATATTTATTAATAATTATGTATATTAGGCAGTAATTGTACCTACATTATAAATATTAGCATTTGTAATGATGGTGCAATCATCATATATTTATTTAAGTTATTTTACTTCATTATATTATCTTGCTTTCGTTGTTAAGAATATTAGAATTATACATTCTTAGTTAAAATGTTACATTGTAATAATGAAACTGTAACGTATTTATTTATTTTAATTAACCAGTTATTTTATGCTACACATCTTTACTCTCATTTCTGTTTACAGTTACACATTTTTACTGTCTGGACTAAAAATTATGTAAAAAAACTAAAGCTAAAACAGATTATATACAATTTTATTACAGTTCATTTCACAAAAGTCTTTAATGGAAATAGTATTAATTTATTATTTAATGAAAATCTAGCCTTTTAAAAATAATGTTTATTTTGTAAAAGAGTAGGATTTACTCGTATTTTAAATAGAGAACTGGTTATTTAAATAGTTATTTTAAATACAGTTCTTTTTTTCATGATCTTCAGTGCAAGCATTTAAATACTTTTTAAGTATCTTCATGCAATAGCATCAAATTCTATCCATTGCGTAACGCGAATTAAAACTGTTTCATAAACCAATTCGTCATAACTATAGTATACTTTACAAAAGAATCTTAATAGAAGTATTATTTAAGGAATTTAAAAAAAGAATAGCAATAATTTTGGAAACTTTTGTCAATTACAATAAAAAAATCTGTTCTGATAAGTTCAAAAAAACACTAAAATTTCCATTGGAATTTAACATTTAAATGTTAAATAATAAAAACTATTAAATGGGATCTTCCGTGATTAAACCGCTAAGAAATAAGATGTTACACAAAAAAATTAAAGCAAATAAGAGAAAAGAGTCCTTAGAAGCTTCCTTTGACATTTTCGTACCATTTGTTCTTTTCATTAAGCTAAGAATAGTAATGATATTCAACGTAAACTACATTTAGTTATAAAACCAATCTCAAGAGTATTTTTTCCCTTCAAATTTAAGTTACATTGTGTTTTCTCAGTGTAAAAAGCAAAATGCTGGAACGGTAAAAAAAGTAAAAAGGAAAATTGTAAATATTTCTACAGCCAGTTCTGTTTTTATGCGCCATTTAACATGATTAAGATTAAATATGGCTTAGAGAAAAATTTATCTTCTTTTTGCAGGATTTGTTCCACTGTAACACAACACAGAGGGCTCTTTTCTAAAAAAATATCAAACTGAAATTAATTCAGAAAATGTACTCCCACGGAAGAGAAATTTCTTAGATTTCATTTCCGTGAAATCTAGTTATGATTAAATGTTTCAGATTTTGTCTTTGTAAAATCCTTTTATGGTCAAACTTGTTGAATAAGTAGTGTATAACGGGCACATTTTGCTCATTAAAATATGAAATTGAAGACCACTTTACCATAACTATGTAATTACATAATAAAATTCAAAATAAAATATTTTTGATTAATAAAGACTTATTTAAAGAAGCTAGATTTAAATCTGCTACAACCGCCAAGAATGGATAATGGTTAGCGACACTGACTGCCATACTGAAGGTCCGGGGGTTTCCAATTCCAGAGGACAAAGGCGTTTAGCTTACGGAGCACCTTTTTAAAATAATTACACTTACATTTACATCATCGAAATAGAAATTTGAAACACTTAAGACTGAGCATCGCTAAAGAAAGAGGAGAACACTATTTCGAGTTTAAAAGAGGAGTTAGAAAATAAGTCCCCTGTGGACAAGAGTGAAGACATCTTGAAGTCAGCTTTCACAAAAGGGCTATTATCCCCTGGGGTGAGGCACGCGCAATTTTAGAGGAGGCATAGATGTTTTGCAACTTAAGGGACACTCAAAATATACAGTGAGCTGGAAGTCCTGGGGAATGATTTGGTTCTATTAAAAGAGGAGGGGAAGACACTGAGAGCCGTCTCACAGGCCTGAACGCTCGGA